GGAGGAGGGAGGAGGGAGGGAGGAGGGAGGGAGGGAGGGAGGGGGGGCGAGCTCCAACAGGCAGTGCTCGACCTCTCCACTAGCGACCCGGCCAGCGGCCGCCAGATCTTCATCGACTGGAGCATCACCTGCGTACACTCAACCTACGCTCCACGCAGGGGTGCCCGGGCGGAGAGAGACGGACTGGCGGCCGCGCAGGCGGTGGAACAGAAGCGCGAGCGCTACCCTCCGCACGGAGGAGAACTGGTCCCTCTTGTCTTCAAGACGGGGGGCCGGCCCAGCGACGAAGCAGCCAGCTTTGTCCGCAGTTACGGAGCCGGCTTAGACGATGCCGACCGCTCCGAGCTGCTGGGCGGTCTCTGGCGGCAGATCAGCAGGACCCTCCAAAGGGGAAGTGCTGAGATGCTGCTGAGCGCGCTCGGGCGCTAAGCCCCATGGCCCCCGCGACGACGACCAGCGCCAGCACGACAGCCGCTGCGGCAGACACAATCACTACGACCAGGACAACGACCAGAACGTGGCGGCTACCACCAACCACTGCGGCCACCACCACCACCGCCGCGCGGAGGTCACCCCTGCCAGCCACTACGACCACCACCAGCAGCCAGACCACACCTACCAGCCACTACTAGCAGACCGCCCACGCCTACCAGCCACCACGACCACCTCCATCACGACCACCGCGACGACCGCCACCAGGACGACCACCTCGACCACCACGACCACTGCCAGCGTGACCCCCACCACCACGACGACGCCCGCCGTCGCCCCCCGTCCCCCTCTGCCTTCCCCCGCCCTCCCCTTCCCCTGCCGGGCCGCCCTTGCCGGAACGCCTTCTGTGCGTCCGTCCCTTCCTCCTCCTCCTCCTCCTCCTCCTCCTCCTCCTCCTCCTGCTCCTCCTCCTCCTCCTCTCCTCCTCCTCCTCTGTCTAGAGAGCGCCAGCGAGTTAACCTGCTTCTCGGTTAGTCCCCGCCGGACTGAACTCTTTCCGGCATCGCCGTCGGCCCCCCTTGGGTGCAGGGGGTGCCGGTCCCACTCGGGAGCCGGCGGCGCGAGACGGGAGGGAGGGAGGGAGGGAGGGAGGGAGGGGGGAGGGGGAGGGAGGGAGGAGGGAGAGGAGGAGGAGGAGGAGGAGGAGGAGGAGGAGGAGGAGGAGGAGGAGGGGAGGAGGAGGTGGTTCAGGAGAGGAGGTTCAGGAGGAGGAGGAGGAGGAGGAGGAGGAGGAGGAGGAGGAGGAGGAGGAGGAGGAGGAGGAGGAGGAGGAGGAGGAGCAGGAGCAGGAGCAGGAGGAGGAGGAGGAGGTGGAGGAGGAGGAGGAGGAGGAGGAGGAGGAGGAGGAGGAGGAGGCGGTGGAGGAGGAGGAGCCCTCTCTCCTTTCAGAGGGTCCACTTCGGAGGCCTCCGTGAGGGGGCGGGGCCCTTTTCGGAAGCAGCCTCCCTCCTCGCCCCGCCACCTGCTGCGCGCCGCCGAGAGGAGGGCGCGCGGGGCGACCTGACGGACCACGTCCGTGCCGTCGCAGAGCTGGACCTGGACTTCGGCGCCGTGTGCGACATGTTCACCGACCCCGAGCAGCGGCGCCGATGGGACGCGCTGTTCGGCCAGCAGATGCAGGTGATCGAGTCCGACGGCGACACGTTCGTGAGCACGGCGTTCCCGGGATTCATGGGCGTGGCTCCGCGCACGTTCCTGAGCTGGCACGGCGCGATGCTTTTCGACCCTGGCGGGGTCCAGGTGGCGACGCGCGCCGAGGCGGCCGGGCAGGCGATGTTGTGGCGGCCCGCGGACGTGGACCGGCCTGGGCTGCCCGCCAAGGACGGGCTGCGGGACGAAAGTTGCACCCTCGGCGTGGTGGCCGAGCGCGCTGGCGACGAGGGCTGCCGGCTTGTGTTCGTCCTGCGGGCCTTCAACTTCCTGGGCACGAACCCGTCTCGGGCAACAGCAAGTGGCATAAACATAACCTTGCGGAGGTCCGCGCTGATTTCTTGGATTGGCGCTGGACCCCCCCTGGCGCGCGGAGCGCGCCAGGGGCGGCGCCCGAGGCGCCGCCAGGGGGCTCCAGCACCCATCCGAGAAGTCCGCGCGGACCTCCGAAAACTTCTCTGTATGCCAGCTTTTGTTCCCCGACCGTCGTCCCTGACAAAGATGTTTGCCGCCCCGCTGCTGCGCAACTTCGGCAGCTACTACGTCGCGGAGGTGCGCGGCGAGATCGCCCGGCGGCGTCGCGCGGCCGCGGAGGCGGTGCCCCCGCAGGGCGAGCCTGGGGAGCCTGCGGCGGCGATCGCCGCCGCGGCGGCGGCGCTGGCGCCGCCGGGCGTGCTGCCGCCGCTGCCGATTGGCCTGTACAGGCGCAGCGCGCGCCAGCCGCTGGAGCCACCGTCATTGTCGTCGTCGTCTTCGTCGTCGTCGTCGTCGTCGCTGGCGCCGCCGCCGTCGTCGTCGCCGTCGCCGTCGCCGCCGTCGCTCAGTATCGTTCACCTATCCGCCACCCCACGGCCACGGTATCTCAGCTCCACCATCCCACCACCCCAGTCTGGGATGGGCCCCTCAAAGCCCGAAGGGAATCGGCCACAACCCCCTCTGGGGGGGTAGATCGGCCAGCAGGCCAAGGCCTCGCCAGTGGCATGGGGACCGGTGAAACGATGCCCAGGAACCGCATGAGCTGCTGCACCTGCGGAAGATCGCCGACGCCGCGCCCTCGCAGGACTTGCGCGGCCCCCGCCTCCGCCCCCTGCCCTCGCCTTGCGGGGGTGTCCTCGGGCCAAGGCGGCCCTCGGCCGCCCTCGGCCGCCCTCGGCGGCTGTCGCTCAGAAGAGCAAGAGGTCATGATGGTCTTATGTATTAGGATCTCCAGGATTTCCATGATTTTTCATTGCCCGACGTGCTCAAGCAACGAGTGCCGCCAGACGCCCCAGAGTTCCTGGATCCTGTCCTGAGCCAGTCGTACCAGGACATCGTGGCCGTCCTGGTCGCCCGCTTCTTCCCAAACGGTGCTCGCTCTTAGAGGGGTTCTCTCAGGAGGGGGAGAACACGCACAGACACAATTAATCGTCGTCCCAGGAAAATATAGGAAAATATGGGAAGTGGGGGGAAGACAAACACCCAGAAAACATGGGAACATATGGGGAATCTTTTTATTCGTGTGTATTCACTTGTGTGTTTGTGGGCCCCTTCATTCTCTTTCGCTTGGCTGAGAGAATGGGTGGGTGACCCGAGGATTTTGTTGGTGGCCGCTCCGTGGCCGCCCGTGGCCTCCGCGTGGCCTCCGCGTGGCCCCCCCGTGGCCGCCCCGTGGCCGCCCCGTGGCCGCCCCGCGCAGCTCGCATCACATCTGGCACCACAGAGCTCGCACCGCGCACTCCGAGTTTCTTAATAAGCGTCTCCTCCTCCTCCTCCTCCTCCTCCTCCGCCTCCGCCTCCTCCTCCGCCTCCGCCTCCGCCTCCGCCTCCGCCTCCGCCTCCGCCTCTTCCTCCGCCGCCTCCTTCTCCTCCTCCTCCTCCTCCTCCTCCGCCTCTGCCTCCGGGGAGCACCCCCGCCGACAGCCCCAAATCGACCCCCGTCGCGGGCCGCCGCCGCGCGCCGAAGGCGTTCCGACCCCCGTCGCGGCGCGACGACGAGGCGAGGTTGACCCCCGTCGGAGGGGTGCGCCCTCACGCTTATCAAGGAACCCAGAGCAGCGTGCACCACGTCTTAGATTGCACAGAGGATCTTACACCACATAGCTTGCACCGCACAGCTTGCACCTCTTAGCTAGCACATCCGTTACACCACACAGCGTGCACCACATAGCTTACACATCCACAGTGCAACAACTTTTCTCTTACTGAAGATTGGCCAGGTGTGTCCAGAAATTTCGACGGCGCCTCCCGTGGCGGCAGTTGTCCATCTATGGGCTTCCCGTAATTTTGAATTATGGGAAACCCATCGGCCGCCAGATTCCCTAGAGGTTTCTGGCCGCCGATGGGTTTCCCATAATTTGCGGCGGCGAGCCGGTGTCCAGTTCTCAAATCATGGGAAACCCATCAGCAGCCAGATTCCCTAGGGGTTTCTGGCCGCCGATGGGTTTCCCATAGTTCGCGGCGGCGAGCGGGGTCCAGATCCCGCATTATGGGAAACCCATCGGCAGCCAGAAACTCCTAGGGAATCTGCCGACCTATGGGTTTCCCATAATTCGCGGCGGCGTGCGGGGTCCAGATCTGGAGTTATGGGAAACCCATCGGCCGCCAGAAACCCCTAGGGAATCTGGCGGCCCATGGGTTTCCCACAATTCGGTGGGGACAATTCCCATACTTCCAGGAGGAGCTTTTTTGAGGTCGTTGGGGTCGCGTCTGACGCCCTGCGACCTCGGGTTTCCCATAATTCGCCTTTTGGGATTTACCGAGTTATGGGAAGCTCATCGACGGACAACGGCCCCCGTGGCCGCCTCGTGGCCGCCTGTTGCGCTGGATGATTCCAGCGAGGGTTCGCTATGTTGCCGCCTGTGGCCGCGTCGTGGCCGCTTCGTCCGCCTGTGGTCGTTTCGTGGCCGCCTCGTGCTCTGGGTGGGTCTGGCGAGGTTTCGCCACGTTGCCGCCCGTGGCCGCATCTTTCCTCTACCTTGCACCACGTAGTTATACTGCAACGCACATAGAGGTCTCGCCTCGTCTCCGTCGGTGGCCGCCTCGTGGCTCACACAACATAGCCTGTATTGCATAGCTCGCACAGGATAGCTTACACCACACACCGTACACCGCATAACTTACACCACATATCTCACGCCACATCTTACACCGCATAGCTTTCACCAGCTTGCTTTCAACGCAAAGGTTTCACCCCCATAGCTCACACCACTGAGCTTGCACGACGTAGCTTTCACCACATTGCTTACACCGCGTAGCTTTCACCTCCACCGTGCATGCAATAACGCCTCGTTGCCGCGACGTTGTTGCCCGTTGCCGCCGGTTGCTGCCTCATTGCCGCTCCGTTGCCACCTCGTGTGCTGCGTGGCTCTCTCGTGGATTCGCCACGTTGCCGCTGGATGCAGCTCCGTTGCCGCCATGTTGCCGCGACAAACGGGAGGGGTGAGGAGGAGGATTTGGCTGGTTGGTTTTGGAGGTTGTCTTTGCTTGCGCTCCGACCACTTACTGATCTAACATGTGTGGAGATTCCGACGAGGCCAGAGGAATTGCAAGGGAATCTCCAATGACAGAGTTCATGACGGCACATGCACATGTCCTGGCATCGCTCGGACGTGTGCATTTTTATCTCGGCGAGAACCAGCGAGGAGCATCCTTGATCATTTGGCGAAAAAGCCACGCACGAAACCGAAAAAACACAGGGACTGGACGTCCGAGCGATGGCGACAATGTCGTGCCGATGTACAGCGCCGCATGTGTTTGGGTCAGCCCGCTACTGCTTCCCCCTGGAGGGACAATGGCTTCGCAAACTGGGAAGGCGTCCGAATGGGAGCCGCCCTCCAACCGCCACCTCCTACTTGTTCCCGCCCTTTATATATACATATATATATATATAGATATAGAAACGTTCCCCTGCGTGCCGCCACGCTGCTGGCGCCAAGATAAGAGGCACCTCGGGTGGCGCCCCGTCCCGCACGCCCCTCGGAGCGCAGCAAATGGCCGCTCGGGCGCCCGCGCGGGCGAACACCTCTCTTGCTGCAGGGCGTTCCGCTGCAGACGCTTTGGGTTTCCTCGTGCCCGCACTCCTTTCCTTCTCCCTCCCGCGGCACGGGCCTCAGCCGGCCCTGCCGTCGGGGGCCCTCCGCCCTTCGCCTGCGGTCCCCGCGCGGGCGGCGGCGGCGGTGCCCTCGGCTCTCAGCGGCCCTGGGCGGCCCTGGGCGGCCCGCGGCGGCCCTCGGGGGCCCGGGCGGCCGCCGCCTGTGTTTGTTTTCGAGGCGTGGCACGTCGACGTCTTGGGCTTCCTCGTGTCGGTGCGCCTCCCTCGGGCGCGCGCGGCAGGCCCGCAAGGGGTGTTCCGCGGCGGACTGTCTCCCCCCCTCTCTTCGCGCCGTCTCGTCGTGTCGTCCTCGTTCGTCCCCGCGGTCGTGCCGTCGCCGCTGCGATCCGTTGTCGTCTTCGTCGTCGTCGTCGTCGTCGTCGCCGTCGTGCCGTCGCCGTCGCCGTCGCCGTCGCCGTCGTCGTCGTCGTCGTCTTTGCCGCCGCCATGGTCGTCGTCGTCGTCGTCGTCGTCGTCGTCGTCGTCGTCGTCGTCGTCGTCGTCGTCGTCGTATTGCTTTTCCCTGATCCTTTCCGCTTGCCCCAGGCAGCGCACTGGTGCTTCTTCCTCACCACCAGCTCCGCGCGTAGCTTTTGGGTGGCGACGCTGGGCTCCCCGTGCGGACGGCGAGCGCAGCGCGCCGCGCGCACGCTCGGCCGGTGCCCGCTTCTGCCGAGCTGCACCGCCTCGCCGCTACATGGTTGGGTTAAGTTCCCGCCTTCCCTTCCCCGCGCACTCTCGAGTGCGCAGGCCCGGGCTCCTGCGCGGCTCGCTCCCAGCAGGCGCGGCAGCAGGCCTGTGAGGTGTCCGGCGCTCGCACACTCTCTCCGGCGTGGCACCGTGCGCACGGCCGCTGGCTGCAGCCTGTGGCTCCGGTCCGACCCGGTCGGAGGCCAGGGATGCCTATCGGTGTAGTGGTGGTGGTGGTTCTGCTGCTCTGAACTCGCTGGCGGCCGGGTGCAAGTTCAAAGACAGATCCGCTCCGTGCAGTGCAGCGGGACAGGATAGTCCCGCTCCAGCGCGCAAAATTCGAAGGACGGCGACGACGACGACGACGACGACGAGGACACGAGCATAGAGGGGGGAACGAATGACGAGGCGAGAGGGGAGAGGAGACCCAGGGCATTTGGGGCACCTATGGCTGGTGCTGCTCTGACACCACTTGCGGACTCTACCCCTGCGGAGCCCAATTGGCGTTGGGGCATCCGACACCCGCGCTGGGGCTCGCCTGGCCGCAGACAAACTTCCGATTCTGAGCCTCGACCAGTTTTTCATAAATCTGACCTGCGGGGGTAGGGTTCACGCGTGTTTCCCTAGAGGGGAGGAGGAGGCGGAGGAGGGGGAGGAGCAGCAGCAGCAGGAGGAGGAGGAGCAGGAGGAGGCGGAGGAGGGATGCTGCTGCTGCTGCTGCTGCTGCTGATGATGATGATGATGATGATGATGATGATGCTGATGCTGATGCTGATGCTGATGCTGATGCTGCTGATGATGATGATGATGATGATGATGATGATGATGGCTGATGCTGATGCTGATGATGATGATGATAATGATGATGATAATGCTGATGCTGCTGCTGATGATGATGATGATGATGATGATGATGATGATGATGATGATGATGATGATGATGATGATGATGATGATTGATGATGATGATGATGAGGAGGAGGAGGAGGAGGAGGAGGAGGGGAGGAGGAGGGGAGGGGGAGGGGGAGGAGGGAGGAGGAGGAGGAGGAGGAGGAGGAGGAGGAAGGGGAGGAAGAGTTGGGGCTGCTGCAGCTCCTCGCAACTCGTGGCTGCTGCTGCTACTCCTCGCAGACTGGGCGCTCGTCGCCGCCGCCCGCCTCTGTGGGAGGAGTGGCAGCTGCAGGTGGACTCGCCCAACCTGCGGATCCACCACTGCCTGGAGGAGCGTCGGGCGGTCTTCGGGAGGTCTTCGGTTTTTTTTGGTTTGGTGTGTTGTCTTGTATTTTCGGGGCTGCGACAACTACACGTGGTTGGATAGTGGGCACGATCGACGACGAAGAGGGCGCGCATTTTGGGTTTGGGGCATACGTGTTGAGTGGCACGCGCGCAACGAAGAGCGAGCAGTCTGAACATGATTCGTGTTTTACCTGGTGGCGTCGCATTCGGACGAACAGTTCCTGTTAATCCCCGCTGCGCGGTGCCCATGTTTTTTTCCAACTAAAGTGCCCCTCCCTGTGCTCGCACCCCGTGTTTTAGCAGGGGAATTCTTGAGGCTCAGGTTGTATTGCTGGCCCCGCTTGCAACAACAACAACAATTCATTCTAAGACTGTTACTTGCCCGAGTGTCATTCAAAACGAGTTCCCCACACCCTCGACACCCGCCCTTCTTGTCTTGGATCACACCCCCTTTGGGGGGATTGTTTCTCTTTGCGGGGGGCGGCGGGCTTAGACAGGCGGGCAAACCTGAACGGGCGGACAATCCTTCGTGGGCGTACATGTGCCCGCCATAGGAATTGGTGTGGGTCCTGCAAGAAGAGGAGGAAAACGAGGGAGAGTGGGAGGAAGGGAGACGAAGGAAGAGGGAAAACGCCAGGAGAGAAGGAGCGAAGAGGGGGGCGGTTGATTAGAGGCAGAGAGAGAGAGAGAGAGAAACAGAGAAAAACAGATAAGAGAGGAAGAGAAAGAGAGTAAGAGAGAGAGAGAGAGAGAGAGAGAAACAACATATAGGTAGAGAAAGAGAGAGAGAGAGAGAGAGAGAGAGAGAGAGAGAGAGAGAGAAAGAGGGAGGGAGGAGGCAGGAGAGGGGAGGGAAAAGGGAGGAGGGAGAGGCAGGAGAGGGGACAGGGCAGAGAGGCATAAGGATGAGGGAAGAGAGGAGGGAGAGAGAAGGGAGGAGAGGAGGGAGGAGGCAGGAGGGAGAGGGAGGAGGAGCACGAAGGTAAGCGCGTGAACGTTCGAGGAAGTCCTAGGCGAAAGCGCCGTTCCTGAAGGAAGTCTCGGGAGTGAGCCTACGACGGGCGGGCGATCCCTTGACGGGCGGGTCGGGCGGGTGGGACATTCAAGCGGGATGCCTGAGTATGGCGAGAGCGCGATTACTAAGTAAATTGTAACGGCGTCCTTGGCGCGAGCGTGGTGCCAGAGCGTAGATAGCGCGATTTCTGAGATTTCTGAATAAATTTCACGAAGTCACAGGCGAGAGCGCAACTCGTGAATAAAATGTGAGGGGTTCTCTGGCGGGAGCGGGGGTCTTGATTAAATTGCGAGGAAGTCTTGACTCAATTGCGAGGAAGTCTCAAGCGGGAGCGCCGTTCCTGAGTAAATTGTGAGGAAGTCTCAGACGGGAACGGGGGTCCTGACTAAATTGCGAGGAGGTCACAAGCGGCAGCACCGATCCGGAGTAAATTGTGAGGAAGTCTCAGGAGCGGGGGTCCTGAGTAAATTTGGAGGAAGTCTCAGGCGGGAGCCGTTGTTGTTGTAGTCCGGGGGGCCAGGGGCCCAGTTTGAGCAGGAAGACTTCCCCTGTCAAAAAACAGGGTGCGAGCGTCCGCGCACTATGATTGAGAAAAAACCGTATGCACCAGTGAGGGGGGATCAACTATCACTATTCTTCAGGAATGAAACAACAACAACAACAACAACAACAACAACAACAACAACAACAACAACAACAACAACAGCAACAGCAACAGCAACAGCAACAACAACAACAATAACAACAACAACCATACCACGACTACTTGATCTAGGAGGCCGATTGGGCTTTCATGCGTGTCTCCCTCTCCCTCGCACCCGCCCTCTATGTCCATGAACGCACCCCCTTGCCGGCGACGAGGCAGGCGAGAGCGCCAAAGCGCATACAGGGGGTCCAACAGTTGAATACTCAACAGCAGCAGCAACATTTATTATAAGACTGATCGCCCTCACCTGCTCGCGTGCCATGGAGCACGTACATCCCAAACCCTCGACACCCGCCCTCTTCACCTCCGACCGTACCTCTCTGGGGGCGTACCGTCCTTACCTGCCACGCGTGCTTGGCGTTCCTGGCGCAGCCCCCAAAGCCAAGCAAAAGAGGGAGGGAGGACGGAAGGAAGGGAGGGAGGAGGAAGGAGGGAGCACGAGATGGAGGGAAGGAGGAGTGGGAGGGAGGGAGGGAGGGAGGGAGGAGGAGGAGGAAGGGAGGGAGGAGGGGGAGGGAGGAGGAGGGAGCACGAGCGAGATCAGCAGGAGGGGTGGCTGGGAGCAGAAGCAGGCGGCAGCACCGGGCGGGCGGTGCGAGCGGGCGGACCCTGCCGGGCGGGCAGGGCGGGCGGGGCCGGGCGGCGGGGCCGGGCGGGCGGGTCGCTGAAGCGTCCGTCCTGCACGAATCGAGAGGAAGTCTCGAGCGACAGCGCGACTGCCAAGTAGAGCGTGAGGAAGTCCAGCGCGAGAGCGTCGTTCCTGAGTCTCGTGGGCGCGGCGACGCCATGCATTGCGAGGAGGTCCCGCGCGAGAGCGCAATTCCTGCAAAGAGTATGAGAAAGTCCCGCGCGAGAGCGCGATTTTGAATACTCGCTGTGGAGAAGTATCAAGCGGGAGCCGTTGTTGTTGTTGTGATTGTTGTTGGTGGTGGTGGTGTTGAACTCTCTTTTCTGAAAAATAATTATTGCTGATCCCCCTTCACCGGTGCATACCGTTTTTTTCTCCATCAAAATGTGCCCCTCGACGCTTGCACACTTTTTTTTGATAGGTAAGGTCTTCCTGATCAAACTGTGCCCCTGGCCCCCCGGACTACAACAACAACGGCTCCCGCCTGAGACTTCCTCCAAATTTACTCAGGACCCCCCCTTCCTGTCTGAGACTTCCTCACAATTTACTCAGGAACAGCGCTCCCGCCTGCGATTTCCTCGCAATTTAGTCCGGGTCAAACTGCGTTGTTGCTCCCCCAGACTACAACAACAACAACAACAAGAACAACAACAACAACAACAACTCAAACAACAACGGTTCCCGCCTGAGGCTTCTTCCAACTTTACTCAAGACCCCCGCTTCCGCCTGAGACTTCCTCCCAATTAACTCAGGATCGGCGCTCCCGCTTGTGACTTCCTCGCAATTTAGTCAGGACCCCCCCTCCCGTCTGTGGCTTCCTCACAATTTACTCAAGAACGGCGCTCCCGCTTCAGATTTCTTTGCGCTTCAGTCTAGACCCCCGCTCCCGCAAGACATCCCCTTTTCAGAAATTGCGCTCTCGCTTGTGATTTGTTCGTAGCTTATGCAAAAAATCGTGCTATTTACGCTCAGGCACCACGGTCGCGCCAAGAACGCCGTCACACTTTACTTAGGAGTCGCGCTCTCGCCCTCCTCAGGCAACCCGCTTGAATGTCCCACCCGCCCGACCCGCCCGTCAGAGGATCGCCCGCCCGTCGTGGGTTGCCGCCCGAGATTTCCTTGTGGAATGGCGCTGTCGCCTAGGACTTCTTCGATCGTTCGCAATATTACCTTCTGCTCCTCCCTCCTCCAGGGCCGCCCCCCCCCTCCTTCCGATTCCCTCTTCCTCGCACGTCAGCTGATGTTGAACTTTATTCCTGAAGAATGATTTCTGTTGGTCCCCCCCCATCGGTGCGCATTGCTTTTTCTCAGTCAAAACGCGCCCCTCGACGCTCGCACCCTGTTTATTTGACAGGACGCGCGCCTCAGCAACCCGCCGGCTCGACCTGGCCGCCTTGGGCCGCCTTCCCGACTCGCCCGTTAGGGTCCGATCTGCCCGTCTGGTTACGCCGCGTATTTTCTGCTCTTCGCCCCCCTCCTTTTCTCTCTCGTGCTCCATCCTCCTCCATCCCCATTGTCCCTTCCCTCCATCCGTCCTCTCTCCCCCTGCGTTAGGGGCTGCAGCAAAAATACGTTGCAGGTAAACAACATATATACCCAAAGTGGTTACGGTCAAAGATGAAGAGGGCGTGCATCGATGGTTTGGGATATACGTGTTGAGTGGCGCCCGAGCAGGTAAGAGCAAACATTATTATTCTGATTGTCGTCGTCGTCGTCGTCCTCGTCGTCGTTGTTGCTGTTGTTGCTGTTGTTGCTGCTGTGGTTGTTGTTGTTGTTGTTGTTGTTGTTGTTGTTGTTGTTGTTGTTGTTGTTGTTGTTGTTGTTGTTATTTGTAGTAGTAGTAGTAGTAGTAGTTGTTGTTGTTGTTAGTAGTAGTAGTAGTAGTAGTAGTAGTAGTAGTAGTAGTTGTTGTTGTTGTTGTTGTTGTTGTTGTTGTTGTTGTTGTTGTTGTTTTTGTTGTTGTTGTTGTTGTTGTTGTTGTTGTTGTTGTTGTTGTTGTTGTTGTTGTTGTTGTTGTTGTTGTTGTTATTTGTCGTCGTCGTCGTTGTTGTGGTTGTGGTTGTGGTTGGTTGTTGTTGAATGTTAATTACTGAGCAATTATTATTGTTGGACCCCCCTAGGCGCCCTGGTGCTCTCGCCTCGGTGCCGGTTACATTTTCATTGAAAATGAGGCTCACGCTCGAGCGGTTTGGGGGGGCGCCAAAACTGGCCCCCCAACAACAACAACGCTCCCGCTCGAGATTCCCTCCTTTTCTACCCAGCCGGTGCTCTTGCTCGCCGCCGAAAACCGCCGCCCCAACAAAACCAACTCTCCTGCTCGAGATTTCTTTCCGTTTTGCCTTGGACTAGCGCGCTACTGTTTCTCTCATCGGCGCCGCCCCCAGCAAGAGCAACGCTCCCGCTCGAGACTTCCTTTTTTTTACTCAGACCCGGTGCTTTTGCTGGCCGCCGAAAACCGCCGCCCCAATAAGACCAGCGCTCCCGCCCGAGATTTCCTTCCGTTTTTCGCTGGTCTGGCGCCCAACTCTCTTTTGAATTGGCGCCGCCCCCAGCAAGAACAACACTCCCGCTCGAGGCTTCCTCCCTTTTTCCTGAAGGCGGTGCTGTTCTTCCTCGCCGCCGACAGTCTCCGTCCCG